AACAATATCAAACAGGTAATTTTGTTTTTGTTTTATACTATTAAATTTAAAAAATTATCAAATGTCCACAATTTTGATTTCGTCGCTGAAATGCTGTTTGATCGCTTGAACATTTTACAGCGAACAAACATACATACATGCGTAAAATGTAATATAGAGGGTTGCATGTATGATTGAACACGTATACATAAGGACTTTTGTCAGCCTTATTCGACTCACGTATAGGTTTGAACTGAACATCATACCAGTTGTGACTCGATCGAACATTGTTGTATGAGGTTGGGTGGATTTATTATAAATCCATCAGCAAAATAAAGTGAGTTTTTCGTTTGTATGAGCGTGGCGCTTCTTTGTACTCTAGATTCTGTGGTCCAGTGCATTACACTGGACCATTTCGCTTGTGGGGCTCCTCAACGCTAATTCTGCGGTGAAGTAAGTACTGCAGGTTAAGCTTAGAAGTTTCCGGGTAAAGTTCAACTTTAAACATGGATCGTGGGATTTTATTTTTATTAACTATATTTATAACTGCTCTAGCGCAAAAGCCTTTTTAGTTTAGGATATTTGTGATTTCAATGGGATCTATACCTGACTCAATACCTTTGATAACGACAACAGGCCTTTGCCACTCTTCAGTTGGTATGTGTAGTAATTTTTCTTACTGTCGTCGAAATGTTTGGTAATGACTTGAAATTATTTTCGGTGTCAATTTGTATCTTAGTTTCGTGTATATTGCCGCTGGTTAAAAGAACAATATGAAAAGTATTACTACCAATCATCACTACCTTGTAGGTGGTAATGTTGAAGGCACCGTTCAAAGTGTAAAAGTATTTAAGTTCGTTATCCAGGAATTCCTTGATGGTAGACTCCTGTTTTGTTTGGGTTAGGGACGCACTGAATATGCACTACTCTGATGGTTGTAAGCTGGTATTATACATGATAATGGGCAAAAGAAGACTTGGTCGTACATTGTTGCCATACCTAGTGGGCATGGAGTTGTTTACAATACTTAGACCCATCTTACTTATTATATCATTGAATTTAGGTACTTTAACAGAATTTAACACAAGAGGAAAACCATTATTAAAATCGCCAAATATTGCAACAAAAAAAAATTAAGAGCAATAGGTAGAAGAATCTAAAAGGGGATCACAGAAAAATATTTTGTTAGGATTATAGGCAAAACTACTAAGTTTTTGTAGTTGCAGATGTGCACAATATCAATTCCCATGGAGACAGACACTAATTGTTTTTTTAAATGTGACTTACAGAAAATAGCCACTTCGCCACCTAACTTATGATTCCTATCATGTTCAAAAAAATCAAAACCATTCAAGGAAAGAAAAATATTGCTTATATTATGATCAAACCAAGTCTCGGAAACACAAATCCAATTTGGATTTTTCAAAAACACTTCGAACATAATTTAGTTTAAGGCCAGAAAGGCTTCTTGCATTAAAATGAACCATATTAACACCACACCGTTGATTAGAAAAAATATTAAAGTGATTTGTGATCGTGCATATGTAACAGTTAATGTTTTCAGCTTCCAGTTTAATTCTGCGTTGTAAGGTATTACATGCCAATCCCTACAATCATGGTCAGTTAGTTCATGAAGGTTAAAAATTTATTTGGCTTAATACAACACATTTGACGAAATTATTTTTGCATTCCTTATGTAAGTAATTCATTGCTTTAAGCACAGATATGGTTCTTTATCACGGTTGCCACTTATGGTACTTTAGTACCAAAATTGGTACTTTTTTTTCCGTTTGGTACTCTGGTACTCATGTTCAAAAAATGGTACATTTTCGGCGACCCAACTTTATTGCGGATATTGTATTGTTTTATACTTTTTGTACATTTTATATAAATTGTATTTTCTTATAAAAAGACAATAGAAAAATTTTGGACCTTTTTTTACAGAAATGGTACCCTTTTAAACCAATTTTGGTACAGAAAAAAATTTTCAAGTGGCAACCGTGTTCTTTATATACACTCGCTTTGTGGGTGTATAAAAATGACGTTCAAACTTTTATATAGAACGCATCTATCCCATTTAATGTTAACTCTACGTTATTTCATAAATTGCTGAAAAGCCTTGCTATATATTACAACAATCTCATTGAAGTTTTTTTTATTTTTATTTGATTCATAGACTCTTAAAACTTTAATACCTATGTTGAACCATAATATTGTTCTAATTTTTTATTATTAATTTTCAACATTATGTCTTTCTTGTTGCTGCTCTGCCGTTAGTTGAAGGATTGCAACTGTACGCTACTTGGTGCTAACCCAGATCCTTAATCTGTGTTAGCTTGGTAGCCTGTTTTTGTTTGTAAAGTAGTTTGAGCACTTGTAACCCAAACTACTTGTATTTTTTGTGTTGATTAGTTTGAGCACTTGAAACCCAAACTAATCGATGCGAGAAAATAAGTAATGAAAGTTATAATTGGTTTGTATTTCGTTTCTTTTCTTTCTGAACTTTATTAAGATTATTTACTCTATTTATACACAACTATTTGATATAAACAAAATATTAAATTATGCATTAATTAACAATAAATATTAATGCATAATTCACAAATAAATAAATTTGCCTACGCTGTGCTGACATAATTATAAGCCAAAAATATAACACACTTTCTTCAGTGCATTGGCCAACAAGAAAAGCTGATAATGCAAAATTGTACTTTTCGTTGGTCAATGACTGGTCGCAGTGATGGCTCAAACAGTAAACACATGTAACCAAATATCATAACAAAAAAAATATAAAATAATATTAACTAAATATAAACATAAACATTCTCCCCGCCGTTGAGTGCCAACTCAACTTGTCCTAGGTTGTGGTCACAGTGAAGTCCAAATTTTGTTGACGTAATTCTGCATTCTGCATATCATTTCCTCGTGTCGAATTTTCGCTTATTGTATGTTGCTGACATATGTTATGTTTGATTTTCCAAGTAAGGATTATTATTATTGTTATAGAAATTAACAACGCCAAATAGCTTATCGTATGATGATGAATACTGTTTAAACGTACTTTAGAGGGAAGATACGTCAAGTTTTCTTTAGTTAGCTGGTTTTGTAATGCTGTGAGTTCCTTGAGCTGTGTTTCTACATCATTTGTTGTTGTATTGAAGATTTTCTGCATCTCATCAATGTGTACAACTGCTGATAGATTTCCATATCGTGGAAATGAAGTGGACACAGTGCTGGAGATAAAATAATGGCCATGTATGGTCACTTCTGCGTTTTTAATGATGCATGTAGGTCCAAATGTAAGCATTCCGGATCCTATCAGTGAAAACTGACTCAAGTAAGTCTCGCAATTAGCTGACATCAATGTTTCAAATTTTGTTGCGTATAGCCACTGGTTAGGGTTGTTTAATTGCTTCAATACAATATTTTCTTGGAGTTTTATTATATTGCATGTTGTTGACTGGTTACCATTAAATAGATTAATTTCACATGGATGTACCGATAATGCTATACTCCATCTTGTTCGTTTATTAGAGCAAATATATACATTATCCTTGGTTAAAAAACATTCCCGTAACTCATGATCATTAAATGGAATGTACTGATCTCGGACAGTGTTTGTTGCCAAATCTTCCACTTCAGTTTTGATAATTATCATGGTTTTGTTTATTACAACCGGTATCGGTGTTGTTTTGAACAATTCAAATTGCTGCTTGTCTAGCAGTGGTAGTTGCATTAAGAATAATACATGCTAAATTTTAATTGTTGACTTTACGTTCATTAGCTTGTAAAAATCGGTCAAATTGTCTTCTGTGAAAAGTAATGTGCGTGACGATGGTAAATGGCCCTTGATTTTGTTGATCTCCTTTGGTAATTGCTCAGGTGTTAATAGCAGTGGACTGATTTTACCTGTAAGGACATTAATTATTTCCGACTGGATGTGTTGAAGATTGGATACCATTAATGTGAATTCTGCAGATAATGAAGTAGTAACTGTGTGACATGTATCTGTTCTGTTGCAGTTCCAATTCTATTCAGAAGCCCATCAACCTTCTTTTGCAAATGATTCATTCGGGACTGCATGGTAACTTCATCTCGTTTAATTATGTTTATTGTGGAATCGATTATAGATGTTTGATTATGAATTAATTGCATTGCATAATCATCTCTACTGTTGATTTATTGTGTCAGACATGCTCTCAGCGTTGTCTGAATCAAGCACTCCGAATAAGGTGTGCGCAATATTTCCTACTATATTAATTGCAGCTCGCTTGTTCCGGCTTTTATATAATAATGTTTGGTCTTGCAACAACTCATCTCTTACATGTTTAAAACGAGTATAGAGAGAAGTACATGCTGTATGTGTTTGCAATTCTGAACATAAACATTTGATGATTTTAGTCCCGTTGTTGAAGGAGTCCATTTCGGTCCAATATGGATGAGGATCATAGTAACAATCATTTTCCATTCTGCCGTTGCTACTTTCACTAAGCCTATGGATTCGAAGTGTATTCCTAAATTATTGTCGTAACGTGTTACATTCACTGAATTCCCTAATACCAATGGCTGGAATAATAGAGATAATAACATTGTGCACAGTAATGACTTAGACATTGGCCGTGAATACTTTTAAGGTGGCTCGTCTTGATCTGCGCCTTCGTGTGGTGTTTTCGAATTCGCTTTTGTAAAACTTTTTAAAAGTTGTTCATCAGAAACAGGAGATTGGTTATCGGCTGGGAACAGAGGCGCTAGTCTTGTCAAAAAACGTCTTAGAGTTACTAGTTCAGTGAGGTACTCGGATTTCCAACGTTCCCAAAAGTTCAATTTGAGACGAGAAACTAATTTCCATCTTATCACCAAATTTATATTTCCTGATTGGACACTTGCATCTGCCATTGCTGTGAGAGGTTCTCCGATTAAGAAGTGACCAGGTGATTGTGCTGACAAGTCATTCGGATTACTCGACATAGGAGTTAATGGTCGAGAGTTCAGTATTCCTTCGACTTCTAATACCACAGTCTCTAGTTCCTCATATGTAGTGAAGTGGTCTTAGTACTTCGTATCAATAAGTGTTTTGCTGATTTGACTGCTGCTTCCCACAGTCCACCGAAGTGTGGTGCACGAGGAGGTATAAATTTAAATGTTATTCCTCTTTCATTACATTCGTTAATTATCTTCTCTTGTGCCTTGCTTGTTTGAATAGAGTCTGCAAGTTCAAGTAATTGATTGCTTGCTCCCACGAAATTTGTGGCATTGTCACAAAACAAATTTTTGCAGTGTCCTCTTCGAGCAATAAAACGTTTCAGCGATCCGATGAATGCATCTGTGGTTAAATCGCTAACTACTTCGAGGTGAACTGCCTTAGTTGTAAAACAACAGTACACAGCAATGTATGCCTTGTGTGGTTTCTTGCCTCGGGTTCCGTAATGTATCCAAAAAGGTCCGCAAAAGTCCACTCCAGTGGTGATGAATGGTCGCCCAGGATGTACTCTTGTCGCTGGCAAATTACCCATCAGTTGTTCATAAAATTGTGGTCTTACTTTAGTACAACGTACACAATGTTGTACTACTGACCTTGCCATCAATTTGCCCTTAATTGGCCAGTATC